GGGATCGAACTCATGCAGAAGTGGCCTTTGCTTCTTTGTGCTGTGCTTTAACCCGCTGCGCCACCAGGGAGGGCCAAGAGTTCCTTTTTTTAAACCACATCCTTGCCAATATTTGTTGTTGCTAGTTTTTTAAATATGTGCCATTCTCGCTGGTGTAAGGTGTTATTTCATTGTGGTTTTGATTTGCATTTGCCTCATTATAAGGGATATTGAACTTTTTTTCATATTCCTGTTGACAGTTTGCACTTCCTCTTTGGAGAAGTTCTTCTGCCCATTTTTTGACTGGATTGTTTACTTTTTTTCATTGAGTCATTTGAGTTCTTAGTATATCTTTGTAATTAGTCCCTTATTAGTTTTGTGGAGTGCAGAAATGTTCTCCCAATCAGTAGGGTGTCTGTTTTGGTTAATGTCTCTTTTGCTGCATCAAAGTTTTTTAGTTTGTTGTAATCTTAGCTGTTCATCTTTTCATTCACTTTCTTTACTTTGAGGGCTGAGTCTTTAAAGATGTTATTGAGATGTATGTTATGTATTGTTTAATCTGTATTTTCTTCTATATATTTTATAATTTCATGTCTTATGTTCAATTCTTTTATCCATATTGAGTTGATTTAAAGGATAGTTTTGATAATCAAAAGTATATGATTTTTTTTACATTAACTTAAAAGGAGCTCAGAGATTCAGAAGGGGATGTGATTTAATTCGTACAACTTATTTGTGTGAAGAGGGTAGGGCAGCATCCAAAATAGAAAATTAATATCGATCCCTGATTGTTTTAGCAGTAAGTCATGTTCACCATGGATATATGAAATAATTGTGAAAGGAAAGAGTACCTCTGTTCACTCATTACTTTTCAAGTTAAGTATTAAATAGTGAAAACATAAAAATTCATTATTTATATTATACTAATAATCATTGTGAATAATGATTATAAGAGTGCTAACCTACAGAGTCTTATGGATTCACAAAGTGAAACAAATTTTAATTTCATTAATAAACATTTAATTGTAGGGATTTTTGGTGGGGTGATTAGTTTGACTCAAGTATAGGAAGTACTAAATAGGCTAAAACTTTGGGGGAAGAAAGTAGAAACAGTACAAGAAGAAAAGTGAAGGATGTAATTTCCTGTGTCCTTAAAAGAATGTCTTCTTTTAAAATGGGTTTTGCTCCCATTTAAAATTATTTAAACTTTAACTATGCTAGAATGTTTATCATTGTAAATATTCAAGCTTACAGTGTAATATTGTAGATGTTAGCCTAAATAATGTGCTCAGGAGTTTTGTGTATGCGTTGAAACATATTTTCTGCAGAGAATGTGCTGAAGCTTTCATTAGATTCTTACAGTTAGTGTATGTGAGCCAAAAAGCAAGCATAGTTTAAAGTGAGTTTTCAGAATGCTCTGGATGCATACTTGTTGGGTATGTTTTTCCTATCCTCAAATGTAGATATATATATAAGGTACAAAAGTATATCTACTTTTTAAATTTCCAATAGAATTATTAATTCTTAGAACAGAACTCGTAGATCAAAAACATCTTTCCTATGTCTCCATAGAATCATGATATTCATTTGTGATTATTTCATATTTACTAGCTGGTGATACTTTCTTTTCAGTTTGAAGGAAGAAAGTACTGTGAACATGATTTTCAGATGCTCTTTGCTCCTTGCTGTCATCAGTGTGGTAAGTTTTACTGCTGAATACCAAGTAAAGTAAGTGTAAGTTTCAAGATTACATGTTATTTAACACTGCTAAAGTGTAGTGGTAAAATGGTTTTTGGAACTCATTATAAATAGCATTTAGCATTTACTAGTCCACTTCCCAATTATCAACATTTTTATAAGCTAGAAGCATATCAAAACCTGTAGATAAGTGATTTTTCATGATATCTAGTGTAAAGATGTTTCAGGATTAACTAAAACTTCTGATAGGTGGTCTTTTGAAATTTTCTTTATTTTTTTTAATAGCAGATACTATAGTTTATTTGTATATGTGTGTGTGTGTGTATATATATATATATTTTAATGAATAGTATAGCAGCTTATTTTTACATCATTTTGAGCATTTTTCCATCTCAGTTGCAATCCCCTTGGGCTTCCCATCACCAAATCACCCATATGCCATCACCACAGTCCAGTGCATTTCCCTTCCCCCACTATTTTTGATCCCATTCCCCACTCCACCCCCACAAAATGTCTCTGATATATAGCTGTTCATCATTATCATTATTTACTCGCCTGTTCCATTATATTCTTGCTATGAGAGAAACCATCTGATATTTTTCCTTTTCTTTCTGGCTTATTTCACTAAGCATGATCTTTTCCAATTCCATCCATGTGGCTGCAAAACACATGTGTTTCTTTTTGTTTGTTTGTTTGTTTGCTGAGTAATATTCCACTGTGTATATGTACCACATCTTTTAAATTTAGTCATCCACTTTTGGGTATTTGGGCTGTTTCCACATCTTTCCAATTGTAAATAAAGCAGCAATAAACATAGGAGTGCAGGTATCTTTTTGAATCAGTGTTTTTGTGTCTTTTGGGCAGATACTTAGAGTGAGATTGCTGGGTCATATAGAAGCTCCATGTTTAGCAGTTTCAAGAGCCTCCAAACAGTTTTCCATACTGGTTGTACTAATTTGCATTCCCACCAGCAGTGCAGTAGAGTTTCTTTTTCTCCACATCCTCGCCAACATTAGTTGTTGCTAGTTATTTTAAGATGTGCCATTCTGACTGGGGTGAGGTGGTATCTCACTGGGGTTTTAGTTTGCATCAATCACCCTTATTACAAGTAATGTTGAACATTTTTTCATATGCTTGTTGGCCATCTGCATTTCCATTTTGGAGAAGTGTCTTTTTAGCTCTTCTGCCCATTTGTTGATGGGGTTGTTTATTTTTGTTGAGTTTCAGTTCTTTGTATATTTTTGTGATCAATCCTTTATTGCTAGTTTTGTGTGAGAAAATTTTCTCCCAATCAGTGAGATTTCTGTTTGTTTTTTGTATTGTCTCTTTTGCTGTACAGAAGCTCTTTAATTTGATGTAGTCCCATCTATTTATCCTTGCCTTCACTATCGTTGCATTGGGTGCTCTATCTTTAAAGATGTCACTGAAGTGTTTGGCCCATCTTTGCTTCCAGGTATTTTATAGTTTCCATTCTTATGTCTAGATCTTTAATCCACTTCCAGTTGATTTTTGTGTATAGTGTGAGGTAGTGATCTAGTTCCTTTTTTTGCATGTAGCTTCCCAGTTTTCCTAGCACCCTTCGCTGAACAAACTTTCTTTGTTCCACTGTATCTTCTTTGCTCCTTTGTCAAAGATTAGCGGTCCATAAACTGGCAGGTTTATATCTGGCTTTTTTATCTGAATCCACTGGTCTGTATGTCTGTTCTTGTTCCAGTACCATGCAGTTTTGATTATTATGGCTTTGTAGTATAGCTAAAAGTTTGGGATTTTTAGCTATACCCCATGTCTCAGCTCAGTGCAGCAATTACAGCCCTCAATAGTGAAAGTAAATTTCTTTGTAATGCCTCCATTCTCTTTCTTCTTAGTCATGAGAGTTTTGGCTCTTCGAGGTCTTTTGTTTTTCCTTATGTATCTTATCAATATATTTTCTGTTTCTTTGAAGAATGTTATTGAGACTTTTATTGGGATGGCATGAAATCTGTATATCGCATTTGGTAGGATGGCCATTTTGATGATGTTAATTCTCCCAATCCATGAGCAGGGAATGTCTGTCATGGTGTCTTCTTGTATTTCTTTTAACAGTGTTTTGTAATTTTCTTTGTATAAGTCTCCTTTGTTAGGTTGACTCCCAGGTATGTGATTCTTTTTATTTTCATTGAAAAATGGATTTTTTTTTTAATTTCTGCTTCTTCTGATTGGTTGTTTGTGTATAGGAAAACCTCTGACTTTTATGTGCTGATTTTATATCGTGCTACTTTACTAAACTGATTGATGTTTTTGATTAGTTTCTCTGGAGTTTTAGGGTTTTCCATGTAAATTAACATATCATCTGCAAATAAGAACCGTTTTACTACTTCTTCCCCTATTTGGACTCCTTGTATG